AGAATCATTGGTCCCACAAATAAAAAAATCCCTTATTATTTTTAAATGGCTATAACTTTTTTATCCTTGTTCTGATTGTTACAAAAAATATATCAAAATTTATAATTTTTTATTATCTTTCATATGATATGAATATTGAATATATAAAAACAAAAACTTAGGCACTTTAAAAAATCGATAGCATATTTTTTTAAAATAGTGTAACTTTTTTATTTGTACTTCGATTGTTACAAAAAATGTATCAAAACCTATAATTCGTTATTATCTTTCATATGAAACTAATATTGCATATATAAAAATAGAAAAATAATTTTATACTTAAAAAAATTTATGTTTTTTAAATTGTTACTCCATCTGTCCCATTTAAAGGTTCTCACGCGGTTTACGATGTTTGACTGATCATAAAGTTAACTGATTCCTGTCATTAGTAGAATTATTTTTAGTAAATAAAATTTACATATTCATAAACTACATAAAACCGCTACAAAGCTTTATCAATAAAATTTAAATTTGATAAAGGTTTATGTATAAAGTAAAAGATTAAGAATAATGCACGTTGATTGGAGAATAGTGGATGAAAATCTTTAAATCGGACGGAGGAAGTATAACATTTTTTGTACTTCAATTGCTACAAGAACTATATATAAAGTTATAACTTCTTGTTATCTTTTATATGATATTTATATTGCATGTATAAAAAAATCTATTACTTTGTGCGATTTAGAATCAATTTTTATAATGCACACTATTGATTTGTAGTGACAGCTTAGAACAAATTTGCACAAACTCTAGCTCAAAGAATAAAACAATAAATAAAAGTGATAATTTGAAAATGATGATAAGCATCTTTTCTCCTATAAAGCCAATGTTTGGTTCGTTTAAAAATCTACTAGACATTATTTTAAAAAGTAATTGTCCTATATAGGACTAAAACTAAACTTAATTTTCTAAATAGGACATAAAGTTTTTAATTCCAACTGTAGTAAGTTTATGTTAAATGTTTGGTCTATTTAATTTGATTTGTTTGAGTCTGGTCTGATATATATTTTTAAACAAATTAATAGATTTTATTTTTATATATGTAATGTTGGTGTCATATGAAAGGTAATAAATAGTTATGTGTTTGGATATATTATTTGTAAAAAACAGAGTAAATAAACAAGTTGTAACACTTTATAACCAGAAATTTTTATAAAGTGTTAAATTATTTGTAAAGTGTCTATTTTTTTTAATATAGGTTGCTGTTTAAAGTGTCTATTTTTTAATTATTTTTATATATGCAATATTAGTGTCATATGAAAGATAATAAAAAATTATAAATTTTGATAAATTTATTATAACAATCGGAGTACAGATAAAAAATTTATAGCATTTCAAAAATAATGGATGATTTATTATTTGTGGGACCCAGACTGTTTTTCTCTTGTGCTTCGTGTTTCAACAGTTCCTTAGGTTTTTAATTTGGACCATTCTTGTTGTACACAAGTTGTACACAAAATGTGTACATTGTCTGTGTACACAGACAATTTGACATCAAGTATTGTCCCTTTTTAAACGAATTGTCTGTGTACACAGGCAACTAGGGGGGTTTTGTGTATAACTTGTGTACAACTCATGTACACTAAGCATTTTCCTTTTAATTTTGCCTAAGCTGCAGTTGCGGTTGGCAGTTATTAACTAGAGTTAATCCCAACACCAGTTTGGGAAATATTTTTAAGCTCACACTATTTTGTTAAATATTCTTTTATTTAGCACTATAATAGGAAAAAACTCATTTTGTAAAGCTTCATGCTAATAACGTATTGGAATATCAATGATAAGCATATACAACTAGGGGAGAGTGGGGTTATATATGGGAAGATACATAGGCCTACTCATGGACTTCAGCTAGGAGGGAGTAATGTATATCTATACATTACATAACATATATAAATATTTTATCATGTAATATATATATATATATATATAGGGACTTCAATCCTTCAATAAATATACAAAAAATCTCTCTTTTGATATTCCAATTTATATTCTATATTTCAACATGGTATCAGAGACTTCATAAATTTATTAGAGCATTTCAATATATTCAGAAATTTAAGAGCCTTTTAGCTTTCGGTTCATTCTTTCAATCTAAAACTTCTAAGCGAGAGTTTTCAGCTCTTTCTTCATCATCGAAACATTAAGAGAGTGTCTTTTTCGCTGGTGACCAGACCCTTGAAATCCGCAGAACAAAATCGACATGCAAACACACACCGCTGGAAGTTCACGCCGCACGTGCTTGTGCGCGACCTCTTGTTGCTCGCTGAAATCTTCGTCGGATTCCACCAACCGACTCGTCTGAGTATCCTTTTGTCTTCCCATCAATTCCAGACTGAGTTCGGGATCTATAGGTAATAATTTCTTCTTTCCTCTTGCATAATGAAGGTGTATGTTAAGGGCACCGGTCAACGACCTAGTCCATGGTCGAGAACGAGAATGGCCACAGGTGAACGATGATGTTCGTGAAGCTATTTTAATTGACTAGAATTAGATGAACGGAAATGATAAGAGGCTTAATAGGATAATTATCGGCCTTGGACCTAGTTAAGAGATCTCAGAATTATTTTACCCAAAAAGCTGTTTATTAAATCAATTGGGATCCCCTTAAATAGATATTAAGGGTTTCTTAAAACAAACAGGAAACTAAGTTGCTATTCCAATACAACTCTAATAAAGGAATACTGATTAAAGCAGGACTAATTAAATACTAATAGTAATATGACTCTCACAGTTTGCTTGATCTTTCCCTTAGCACTTTGATCCCTAATTGTATTCGTTCCCCGTTGTCCTCTTCGTTTATAGGTACGACCAAAGAATTGGTCTGTAACATCACTCCCCTCCTTGAGAAGGAGCTTGTCCTCAAGCTTGAAAGTAGATATTGTGTTTGAATGAATCGAGTGGTTCCCATGTTGCCTTGTCCACTTGTTGTCCCTGCCAGTGAACTAAAAGTTCCCAATTGCCATTTAAAACACGGCTGCGAAGAATTGCTTAGGGAATTTTGGTTTCCAGAATGCAAGGTGTTGGAGGAAGACTCCCCATTAACGCGGGAGAACGTCCTCGGTGTGGCTTGAGAAGGGATACATGAAAAACATTATGTATACGAGTGCCCATTGACAATTGGAGCAGCTTGTAAGCATTCTGGCGAATGCGCTCCACGACTTGAAATGGAGCAAAATATTTTTGCAAAAGTTTGGAATTGCCCCGTCCTATTATGACTTGACGATATGGTTGTAAGCGGAGCCAAACCCAAGCCCCGGGTTCAAAAGAGAATTCACGGTGGCCTTTACCAAACTCACTTTTCATTCGTTGTTGTGCTTGAGCCAATCTGTCACGAGCGCGTTTGAGAAGATCATCACGGTCAATCAACTTGCGATCAACTCCTTCCATTTTGGCTGTCCCAAGTATATAGGAGAACATCCGCGGTGGTTCCCTGCCATAAACCATGCATTTTTTGGGATAATCGTCCATGATACAACACAAAAACAACCTGATTGTGTGATTAACTACCTCTTTTTGACCGTGTGTTTGCGGGTGGTAGGCAGAGGAGTAAACAAGTTGCTTTTCGTGCACTCAAAATAAGTATCAATACAACAAGTATACGTAGTATAATGAAGTAAGGTTCGTATCCACATGGAAATGAATATTTCTCTTTTAATTAAATAGTAACATGGGGGGGGGGTTTTATGATTGTTGATGAACTTAAATGTATTTAAACACTAAGATGAACGACTTATGTGTTTTAGTTAATAGAGATGAAGACTTGGCTTTGCTTTTTATCCACTTAATGAAATGTTCGTCGATCCCGCTTATATCTTTAACTATCTTCTTCTCGAATACTCAATCAAGGAGTATCTCCATTTCATCGAGGGTAGTTATTAATAACGAGACACGTTGATTAATAAAACTTACTACTGAGTCAATATAGAACACACGCCGTATATTAACCCGATAGTAGCAATAAACTTAAGATGAAAACGATTGAGTTTGATAACCTCAACACAAGCGGTTTATTGGTTTAATCAATATAATTAATTCCCCTTAGATTATTAACCATGAGATTCATGCATTGATAATCCAAGTTTACTACCTTTGAAAGAGCCAAATTAATAACAAGCGCATTAATCACTTGATTCTAGTAATAATTAATATATGAAACAAAACTAGTTGATCCTTTAAGTAATGTTCAAAATAGTAATATGAAATATGAACATGAATTAATTAATAATATTCAAGGAAGAAGATTAAAGAAAATAAAAGCTACTATAATTAACGTCGAGATGTTAACTAATTGTCATCTTAGCAACACTCCCCAACATTAATATAGAGCTAGATTAAATTAATATTCAAGGAAGAAGATTAAAGAAAATAACTCAACACTTACAATTCATTAAGCTTCAAAGTAGCAAAACCAAGATGGAAGAGTTTAGCTCCTCATTTGGAGACTAAACATGCTAAAAATATAAAGAAAGAACTTATCTAGACTGAGCTTAGAATTATATGTGAATTGGTGATTTTCTTTGGGAAGGAAAGGGAGGTATTTATAGGCTTTTGGAGCATGCATGGGTGTGTACCCGATCGGGTATATAGGGTGCCCGATCGGGTACCTTCAGAGGGTGCCCGGAAGCTGCAAAAGTGGGGCATACCCGACCGGGTATGTCGGTTACCCGATCGGGTATAGACACTCGAACATGGCTAAAAATCCTCCTGCACGTTGCCTTGTCCCGGATCCGATCCGATTTGAAATTTCAACAAGATACCCGATCGGGTATAGGTCATACCCGACGGGGTATAGACCAGAAATCAGGATCCCTATTTTTGTCTTGTGATTTTGCACCTTCATTCAACTTTTGGGATACACCAATGGTCCCTTGAGTGATTATGGACCTGTTTGAGCTCAGAATAAATCTAATCTAAACAAATTACAAACATTTTTACAAACTAAACTATTACACAAAAAATGTGTAATTTCCAAAGTAACAATCAATCAAAACTAATTAAAAATACAAACATAAACATGGGAATTACATGTTTATCATCGGTACCAGTGATAAGCACGATAATTGCCTATAATTTATATAGGTAATTATTATTATCTATACAAATATTCAAAGATGAAACATGTAAAAATCCCAATTTAAGCAAAACCGCGCAAGGGCGTCAAAGATGAAGAAACGGGAGTCAACGGGCAAAAGGGATTGAGAACCAGCACTTCGGGGTCAACTACGGGCGTCAAACGGAGCAAAAAGTGAAATATTGCACAAAAGGACGAAACCGGTGCCGATATGCTCTTAGAACCAGCGCCAGTATGATGATTGACTACCGCAATGCAGCAACCAGTAGCTTAGTCAGCGCCGATAAGGCCTTATAACCGACTCCGGTTATGCTATTTTTACGGATATTCAGAATACAAGTGTAGAACCGGGGCCGGTCAAGCCTGAAACCGGCGCCGGTTAGGTCGAAACCTGCACAAAACACAATGACGTGCTTCATATGTTTGTTTGGAAAACTTCACCTTCCATATGATATGATCAAATATTTCTTCCATACCTGATTGTTGGGCTCGAATAGACTAAAAGATGCTAATCTTTAGCCTATATAAAGCCCCCCAATTCATCAAACAAGATCATCAATCCTATTTAGAGCATATATTTAGTTTTTATATTCTATTTTTGCATTCTCTTGAAGTGTTGGAGAAGAAGCCATTTCCCTCATCTACAATTGGTTCTAGGTAATATTTCTTGTATGTTATTGTATTTCCTTTATCTTAGTATGAGCTTAAGAAGCTAAATTCTTAGCTAAGGCTAGGGATGAATTTCTATGCCCACTAGCTGTTTGATAAAAGTTCTAAACCAATAAATTGTGATTTATCCTTTATACTTTGATTGTTTATGACTATGGTGTACAACATAGAAGTATGTTAAATTTAGTTTATACTTGTGATTAACGTTGATATTAGCGATTTTTTTTAAAAAAAAACTCCAAATAAGGCTGAAAAATTCATAGAGAAAAATAAATTGTTGGTCTCCTTGACGAGGCACACCTCCCAGTGTTTTTCTTTTAATTTTTCGGAAACTTTTAAAAACCGGAGTTAATTTTCTAATGGTGTTGGATGGCATGCCCCATTGTGATAACAGAATTGAAACACATGTCTCACTTTGTTAACAAATGAAGCATGTACCCCTATCTGAAAACGGCCCAAACCACATGTAACTCTTTTGAACTTTTTCCTAGATTTAATAGTTACCATAAAGCTAATTATATCAACTATTCAAAAGCATAATATGAACAATGAAGGAGAAAAATCATGGAGTTGTACCTTCACTTCGAGAAGTGAGCTTCAGCACATGTTCATTGTTCATTTCATAGTAGAGCTCTAAACAGGAACTAGTTAACACGTCATGAAGTTGTAGAGATATCACTATATTAGTTAGTAACTTAAAAGTCCAAAGAATCACAAAGTTATAAAAAATGTATGGTGGCTATGTAGTACGAAACTTGCTAGCACAACAAAGACTCATAAGGTATGAAGAAAGTACAATGTGAAAGGTCACAATATAGAAGGATCACAACACAAAATCTATAACAGAGTAGTAGTCTTCATTCATCAGTGCACCAGTAATCTGTTGGCCTTAAGTTTCATCAAGCACATATATAATTTATCTCCCATAAACACTAACCAATGGTCAATGTAAATAAACTGCAAACTACCACTTTAGTAAGATACATAAGCATCGGTATCACTCTGAATCTATCTTATCCCATTTCACAAAATGACTATGTTCTTGAGTGATCGAGAATGGTGGTCTCTCCGAACTGAAATTATTGAATAGGCATTTAAGGTCATTCATTATATGCCTATCCAATTATCCCATTATAATGCCTATCCAAAACTCCAAAAAGAAAAGAATATTATGGCGGCTCACCAAATTTATATAAACTATTCTCTAGAAGTATTTCTCTACTTCTACACAAATAGGCAATATTATTTTTATTATTTATTGTACTATGAATTAAAATTCGTATATCTGAAAAACTATTCCGTACATTTTAAACTGTTGAAGAATGTAATGCATATGCTAAATTACTCTTTATTCTCATCATTAAATTAGTATATAAGACATGTATTATATGCCGTATTTTTAAATTGTGAAACGTTCAAAACACGTTCATATCTTTATTCATTTCACGAACGTATGACACATATATTTAGCCGTATTTTATATAATTGTATCGTATTATACACGAACGTACGTATTACTGTATTATTCACGAACCGTATAATACTAACAAAGATCAACACACACCAACATCTTTTCTATTACCATTTAATCCCTAACATTTATAATATTGTAGATAGAGATACTAGGGTTATATGAAAGATTACAAAGACCTATTAATTTTTGTAAAATTGGAGTATAAATACAAACAAAAAAGTTACTCCTTCCGCCCTTGAATTATATTCAAACTTTCCCTTTTTACCGATTCTAAAACAATCTCCTTTTCTATTTTGGAAAAGGATTTGTGATTCACGGCGTCTCTTAAATGTTTTTACATATTTCTCTCTATCTATTCAACTTTCCACGACTGACTTTCAATTCCGTGGAGTCACCTATTGGGAATGGGTACTAAATTATTTTTGCAGCGGAAATGGGCCTTTGCTCGCTCTAAAAGCCCAATTTGAATCAAACCCCTCCCAAAACCCTGCCCAAACTGAGGTTAATCCGTCATTTCCACACCCCCATCGCCTCTTGCTCTGACCTCTGCTCCGATGAAACCTCAGTGTTGAGCTCTTCAGTTCCCATCGAACACTACACCAGAAGAAAATGGCTCATCTCTCATACCGTTTGAATCCAAAGCTGATCGACGTTTCAACGCCGCTTTACCTGAGGTCCACTTCCTTCTTCTGCTCATCGCCATCCGTGGATTCCGAAATCCCCATCTCTTCCGCCGCTGGAGCTCAGGATGCTGGCACATTACCAATATCGGCCAGGACGCTAAGAGGTAAGCCCAACCCCCCTGAAAAACCTGAGGATATCATCTGTAGAATGATGGCAAATCGGGCCTGGACGACCCGTTTGCAGAACTCGATCCGGAACCTCGTTCCAGTGTTCGATCACGACCTCGTCTATAATGTCCTGCATGCTGCTAGGACCTCAGAGCACGCTCTCCAGTTCTTCAGGTGGGTGCACAGGGCTGGGCTTTTCCGCCACAATAGAGAAACTCATTTTAAGATCATTCAAATTCTCGGCAGAGCTTCTAAGCTTAACCATGCTAGATGTATACTTCTCGACATGCCCAAGAATGGGGTAGATTGGGATGAAGATTTGTGGGTGGTGATGATTGAGAGCTATGGGCAGGCTGGGATTGTACAGGAGAGTGTTAAACTGTTTCAGAGAATTGAGGAGCTCGGGGTTGAGAGAACTCTGAAATCTTACAATGCATTGTTCAAGGTGATAACACGTAGAGGGAGGTATATGATGGCTAAGAGGTATTTCAACAAGATGCTAAAAGAAGGAATTGAGCCAACAACCCACACATATAACCTTCTGATTTGGGGATTCTTCCTTGCTTCAAAGGTTGAGACTGCAAATAGATTCTTTGAGGAAATGAAAAGCAGGGAGATTAATCCTGATTTAGTAACTTATAATACGATGATTAATGGATACATTCGTGGGAAGAAAATGGAGGAGGCAGAAAAGTACTTCATGGAGATGAAGGCAAGGAATTTTGAGCCATCTGTGATTACATACACCACCTTGATAAAAGGGTATAACTCCGTTGGAAGAGTTGATGAGGCATTGAAATTGTTCCAAGAGATGAAAAGTTTTGGGATTAAGCCCAATGAAGCTACATACTCTACCTTGTTGCCTGGGCTATGTGAAGCAGAGAAGATGTCTGAAGCCAAGACTATCTTGAAGGAGATGGAAGGGAAGTATATCGCACCCAGAGACAATTCTATCTTTGTAAGATTATTATCCGGACAGTGCAAAGTTGGTGATTTGGATGCTGCAATGGATGTACTCAACGCTATGATCCGTTTGAGCATTCCAACTGAGTCTGGGCATTATGGGGTATTGATTGAAAACTTTTGTAAAGCAGGAATTTACGAAAGAGCTATTAAATTATTGGATAAGCTCGTTGAGAAGAATATTGTTTTGAGACCAGAGAACACTTTCCATATGGACCCAAGTGCATATAACGTGATTATTGACCATCTCTGTAACAACGGCCAGACTTCTAAAGCTGAAGTCTTTATGAGACAGTTGATGAAAATTGGTATTCAAGATCCAGTTGCTTTGAACAATTTGATCCGTGGTCATGCAAGAGAAGGAGATCTTGAATCAGCATCTGAACTTTTGAAGATAATGGTTAGGAGGAAAGTTCTTACAGAAGAGAGTGCTTTTAATTCACTTGTGTATTCTTATTTAAAGAAAGGAGATCCTTCCGAGGCCAAAATAGTTTTGGATAGTATGATTGAAAACGGACATTTCCCAGACTCATCACTGTACAAGTCTGTTATGGAGAGCCTGTATGAAGATGGAAGAATTCAAACTGCAAGCCGTGTGATGAAGACTATGCTGGATAAGGGAGTGAAGGAACATGCGGATTTGATAGGGAAAATATTGGAATCTCTTTTGATGAGGGGTCACATTGAGGAAACTCTTGGCAGAATTGAACTGATGATGCAAAACGGTTTATCGCCTGATTTTGATGCTCTTTTAACCATTCTGTGTGAGAAAGAAAAGACGATTGCTGCTTTAAAGCTCTTGGATTATTGTTTGGAAAGAGACTTCAGCATTGAGTTTTCAAGCTATGATAAGGTGTTGGATGCTCTTCTAGCAGCCGGAAAGACCTTAAATGCCTATTCAATAATGTGTAAGATAACAGAGAAAGGTGGTGGTGGAGTAAAAGACCACAAAAGCATTGAAGGATTGATTAAGAGCCTCAATAAGGAGGGGAATACCAAACAGGCAGATATTCTTTCAAGAATGGTTACAGGAAAGGATAAAGATAGCAAGAAAGGAAAGAAGAGTGTGCTCAATGCGGCATGATTTTTCCCACAGTAAACGCTACATAACCTTCCATCTGCGTGTTGTTATACTTCATTTTCAAGAAACCAGTTTGCGTTCGTATTCCTAGAACATTTACTCGTGCAATATCCAAATTTAAATGCCGTAATTCAGTGATCTACTTATTGGTTTGGGATTCGGTGTGCAAGTATAGTCCCCAAGACAGTGATGAAGCCTCCCCCATCCCCGTACTTGTCTTGGCTTCTTATTAATAACACAGGGGCTATTTGTGGACTTGACGAGAACAACGACTTAATCATTCAGCCATTAAGGCAATGTTTGGTGGGCATAAGTCCCTGCCTTCTAGCTTTTGTACTATTTAAATAGTCTTTAAAAGCTTCTAGTTGTATGTTAGACATGTTAATTTTTAAGAGCTTTTATAAAAATAAAAGATCTGTTTTGAGATGCTACAGTGAGTAGTATCTCAGATAAGTCAGTAGCTTCTAGTATTAATTTGTCTTAATAACTTGTATACCAAACAAAGTTAAATCAGTCAGCTTTTTATCAAACAGGTACTGCCTTTTCTTAAAAAGATCTTTTCAGTCACTAAAAGCTAGTAGTTACTAAAAAATCATAAAAGTATCTTTTCAGCTAGTTGTGCCAAACATACCCTAAGTCGTATTTACCTACAACTTAAATGAAAGCATTAAATCATTCATTAAAAAAGGTGACTTAATCATTAAGCTAGAAAATAGTAGTCCTTCCCGTTTAGACTGTTTATTCATCACACACAATAAACAAGAAAGAATTACTAAAAGGTCACGGTGAAGCTTTGTGCGGACAAAAATGCGAGCACGTTATGTTTAGGACAAAAAACTGATTCAAGGAGGGGTAAAATATCTCAATTATCCCTTCTCCCAACCCATTTTCTAATCTCTTGATTTTTGCGCTCAGGGCACCTCATCCAACGTCCAGTTTTTGTAACGAAGATGACGATCAAATCTTCTCCTTCTGCATCGACTCTTCAAGCGAGCCGACTACGAAAAGCGACGAGGGAATCACCTACGAAGAGAGACAACTACTCCTCTCCTTCTCCTTTTTTCTTGCCCGCAAACCACCATTGCTCACTCTGTCGTTATTTCCTCTATCTTCAAACGTCTTCTTCAAGCCGCACCAAATCCTTCAACGGCGGCAACGGACTTCGTAGATCCGACGGCTACTTCATCCCCCTGTCGTGGCAGCGAGCAGTAGTACAAAAAGGGCTTTTACATCACTTTTTCAACATGTGTTTTATCAAAACCCATGTAGAATAGTGACATGGGGTCATTTTTGTAATTTTGATAAACTTTTTAACATCAATTGTTGGAATTGGAATAATATTCCTTGCTTTATTTTGCAATCATAATGGAGTATTAATACAAACATTTCCATCGTTACCATGCAAGGCTAACGGCTGGAGAGCCTAAGTCAAAGGCAAGAATCAAGCTAACCAAATATAGACTAAGTGTATCTAGACTCAATAGAAGCTAAGTACAAATAACACAAAATATGGAAAGAATGGTAAACAAGGAAAGTGATCATGTAGCCCATGTGCAATCACGTTAATTCGCCCCCGTAGTGGAGACTGGATCGGAAATCCTCAAATAAAACGCGTGGCAAACCTTTGGTGAAAATATCTGCGAATTGGCGACGTGTGGGGACATGGAGGACCCGGACCTCGCCGCGAGCAACTTTTTCCCGAACGAAGTGAATGTCTATTTCAATGTGCTTAGTTCGTTGATGTTGCACTGGGTTGCCGGCCATGTAGATGGCGCTTATGTTATCACAGTATACAATTGAGGCCTTTGTGGGCGGAGAGTGAAGTTCCAGGAGTAGATTGCGGAACCAACATGTTTCGGCGACAACGTTAGCCACACCGCGGTATTCGGCCTCGACACTAGAGCGGGAGATGGTGCTTTGTCGCTTTGAGGACCAAGAGAGGAGATTATCACCCAAGTAGACACAATAGCCGGATGTGGAGCGTCGGGTGTCGGGACAGCCCCCCAGTCGGCGTCGGTGTAGGCAATGAGCGACTGGGCCGATGAGCGATGAAGGTGCATGCCAAAATGTGAGGTGCCGCTGATGTAGCGAATAATGCGTTTGAGTGCGTGGAAGTGGGGTTCCCTTGGGTCGTGCATGAATAGGCAGATTTATTGGACGACATAGGATATATCGGGCCGGGTGAAGGTGAGGTATTGGAGTGCGCCGACAAGACTGCGGTAAAGGGAGGGGTTTGCGACCGGGGGGCCTGTTGTAGCACTCAATTTTGCATTGGAATCCACTGGGGTAGTCACCGGGTTGCACTGGTTCATACCCGCGCGGCTGATTATTTCACGGGTATGTTGGGTGGGTTATGGAATGGAAAAATGACCTCGTTAAAAGTAACATGACGGGATATGGATATTTTTTGCGTTGATAAGTCCATGCAAATGTACCCTTTATGATTGTCGGGGTATCCCAAAAATATACTTGGAGTTGACCGGGGTTGTAATTTATGTATGGTGGTGGGGGTATGTGTGGAAAGCAGAGGGACCCGAAAACCCGAAGGTGGTCATAGAGAGGTAATTTATGGTATATGAGGGATGTGGGGGTATGATAATTTATGGTTTGAGAGGGAAGAATATTATGGAGGTATGTGGTCACTTTAACCGCATAGGGCCATAATTTGAGGGGTATGGCGGTGTGAATAAGAAGAGTTCATGCCACATTATTTATGGTACGGATGGTGCGTTCCGCTTTGCCATTTTGGGGAGATGTGTACGGGCAAGAGTAACGAAAATGGAGGCCCTTGGAAGCACCGAATTGGGTAAAATTTGTGTTACGAAATTCGGTGCCGTTGTCACATTGTAAATTGTTTATACATTGTTCAAATTGAGTATGAATAAAATTACAAAATGTGACAAACGTGGTAAAAGTGTCGGATTTATGATGAAGAGGGTACACCCACAAGAATTTGGTGTAATCATCTAAAAATAATACATAATAACGATGGCCGGTATTACTTAACACAGGAGCAGTCCATAAATAACTATGTATTATTTCAAATGGTTTAGACGTAGTAGACAATGAATTAGAAAAGGGTAACTTAACATGTTTGCCCATTTGACAGGAGGTACAAATAGACACATGTGGAGCTTATTACAAGAAATGACTTTATTTGTTCTAAGACAATTAAAAATAGGATCCCCCTGATGGCCAAGGCGGCTGTGCCAAAGTTCAGCAGGAATGGTTAATAAGGCGGTGGCTTGGGAGGAGCCGTGACTTGGACTGACCGGGTAGAGGTGTCCGGAGCTATTGCACCGTTGAATATTTCTCCTGGTTTGGAGGTCCTTCACAGAAAAACCAAAAGGGTCAAATTCGACGGAAACATTATTATCAATAGTGAATTGACGGACATAAATCAGATTTTTAACTAATTGTGGGGCATGAAGAACATTTTGTAAACGAAGGGGAGTGGGGGTGGCGGGCAGAGAGGTGTGGCCGTGACCCTTTATTATTTCCAACCAAGATGCTATTATTTGTACACGAATTAAAATAAGGAGCGAGAGTACTTGAAGAGGACGTCATATGTGAAGTTGCCCCGGTGTCCATATACCAATTGTTGTCCGGTGGAGAAAGTGTCATGGTGTGCATGGCGGCTTGAATATCGGTTGGGGTTGGAGTAGTGTGGGAGTAGTGGGCTTGTGGGCGTGGCTCGAGGATGCCGGGGGAGGAGCGAGGGGGTGGTGGTTGGTGTGCGAGAGGGGTGGAGGGGTAGGGGCAGGGTGGTGCAACCCACGGGTTAGGGGGCCAGTATGCCCAAGGATTGGGGTGGTAAGGTCACGAGCTGTTTGGTGGGGTTGTCGGGGTAGGTGGGCCATGTGGGCGAGGGTTAGGGCGGTTGCGACCACCGCGGCCTTTCGGGCGAGCCTGGCGGGTATCGGACCGGGGTTGTGTGGGTGGAGGCTGGGGGGAAGGTGGATTATTGGTGGTGTGAAGCATGGCTGCGGGAGGTTGGCCGACTTTTTGATTCTGACGGGCTTCTTCGAGAGTTAACATAGAGCGGGCCTTGGCGAAGAGTGGGAGAGGGTCGGCTTGTTGAATAAGTGAAGCGACGGTGGCAAAGTGAGCCGGCAGTCCATTGACGAGACGTAGAACAAGTCGGCTGTTGCTAACCGAGGCATCCACGTTGCCTAGTTGATCGGCCAAGATCTTGAGTTCCTTGCAATAAGAAGAAATGTTGGGGAATTGATCAAGGCGGGTGTTGGAAAACTGATTTTCGAGGTACACCGCCCTGGAATGCTTGTTATGTTGGAAGATGTCTTCAAGGTGTTGCCAAGCCGTGTGTGCCGTGGAGTCGGGCTCGATGATCGTGGGGAGGAGATCATGAGAGATGGTGCCGTATATCCATTGTAGAACGACGACATCTAAGCGATCCCATAGGTCATTGGCTTCGAGCGCGGCGGCTTCTTGTTCCAGCCGTTGCTCCAATGTGGTGGGGAAGGCGGGAGTGTGGGTAGAGGCAGCCGTGTTCGGGATGATATGGTCGATGACTTGATAAGCCCGAGCTGTAATTTTGAAAAGTTCCGCCCAAGATGAATATTCCACGGTGTCAAGGTTGAGAGTTATGGGAATAAAATTTTTGATATTAGAAATGGCTAGGGCCGGGGAAACTTTGGGGAAGAAAAAGACATGGCTAGAGAAAGACAGAAGCTACTGATACCAAATTGGAATAATATTCCTTGCTTTATTTTGCAATCACAATAGAGTATTAATACAAACATTTCCACCGTTACCATGCAAGGTTAACGGCTGGAGAGCCTAAGTCAAAGGCAATAATCAAGCTAACCAAATATAGACTAAGTGTATCTAGACTCAATAGAAGCTAAGTACAAATAACACAAAATATGGAAAGAATGGTAAACAAGGAAAGTGATCATGCTGCCCATGTGCACTCACGTTAATTGTTGGTATAACCGATGTCAAATAGTGAAACGGGATTCATTTTAAAATTTTTAAAATACTTTTAACATCAGGTCTCTCTAAAACCGATCTTGAAAAAAAAAACGGGGTAAATTTTTGGATTAATGAAAGTTTAGTCAACAACGGTTTTAATTTGACCGATGTACAAAAAAACTTAAAAAGCGACTTCATCCGTATCTGCTACTTCCCGTTTCAAACCTAGCGAACAAACACTCTTGACCGCGCCGACCTGGTTGAGCAGCGACTAGAGACAGGGCTAGCGGAATACTAATGGCCTGAAATTGGACCATCGACCACCGTGACTGAAGCCGACTGTGGCGTATAGTTATCGCGGCTCCGACGTTCCGAGTGAGCATAGAACGGCGTTCGACCATGCACAGGTCAACATTCGAGCGAGGAATAGGTCGGCGTCGAGTACAGGTCAGGATTTCTATGTTTTATTTAGCCATTTTTGGTTTTAGTTTTGCTTTGAGTCAAACTTCTTTCAGTTTTTGAGCAAGCATAGAAAGGCGTTCGACCGCGCACAGTTCAACTGCGCACATGACAACATTCGAGCGAGGAATAAGATGACGTCGAGGACTCGAGTACTGGTCAGGATTTCTATGTTTTATTTAGCTATTTTTGGTTTTAGTTTTGCTTTGAGTCAAATTTCTTTAAGTTTTCTTTCACCTAAATTGAAGTTTTGCTTTCAATAGTATTGTTTTTAGTAAAATTTAAGTGTTGCTTGGCCTGGACTGAATCCTGGTGTGGGTGTGGGTGTACGTTAAATTGAATGGGAGTCAATCAAACTGAATTTTTTGACTTGTAAAATTCATTTTAGAAATGAATCTGCTGTGTGCCCTCATTAGGAAAAAGCCTTTGTTTTATGAATCTTGTTACATAAATGCACTGATTTTTTAGGAGGCATTTCCCCTCTCAAGCATCCGACGCATTTTAGCCGTAAGATTTCAACAAAGGCGTAAGCCTTGTTACCGGAAGATAAGGCTTAAGACTTCCAGGCTATTACCGAACGCATTAACGCCTTTGTGCCTGAGGTGCGTAAAGGCTAAACGCCTTTCAAAACCATGCTGGTGAGCTGGGGAGGGGGCTGGGGAGCTGGGGAGGGGGCTGGTGGGATGGGGAGGGTTCTAGTGAGCCGGGGAGGGGGCTGGTGGGCTAGGGAGGGGACTGGGGAGGGTGTTGGTGACCTGGGGTGGGGGCTAGTGGGATGGGGAGGCTTCTGGTGAGCTGGGGAGGGGGCTGGTGGGCTGGAGAGGGTGCTGGTGGGCTGGGGAGGGGGCTGATGGGCTGGGGAGGGTGCTGGTGAGCTGGGGAGGGGACTGGGGAACTGGGGAGGGGGCTGGTGGGATG